TGCATAACAATTCATAATTCAGTGCATAACATAACATTGTAAGGTATTCTGGGGATCTTTACCGTTCGGGCGCTGGCTGATCGTACACACTGCGTCTTTCTTGTTTACCACTTTACCATTTATAAAAGTTTATGTATTTATTATTTTTAAAAGATTTTTCCTCAAATCCTCGGTTTGAGTTCAGTTACACCCGAAGGTACACCCGAATCCCTCAAACCAAGGCTCTGATACCAATTGTAACAACGCAAATTTTCAAATAAATTTTTCATTTAAATAAAGTGAGTTCATTCAACCAATAATATTTATTTCATGTTTCAAAACAATACATATGTAAAATCCCCAAGATCTCAAATAGCAGCAGTGTGTATGCATCATGCCGGCGCCTTCCCACGGTCCTCGCTAGTACCTGAAACACATACATAACAACTTGTAAGCATAAATGCTTAGTGAGTTCCCCAGTATACCACTTACACATATACGCCTTTCCAGGCCCGGACCTTCCGGTCCACAGTACAATGCCTTCCGGCCCATATGATAATCGCCTTCCGGCCCATAAGATAATTGCCTTCCGGCCCATAAGATAATTGCCTTCCGGCCCATAAGATAATTGCCTTCCGGCCCATAACATGATTGCCTTCCGGCCCATAAACATATATAACACATAATACATTTACTCTAACACATATATCACATATATCATATATCATACCTGACCTTCCTGTCACATAATACATTGCCTTCCGGCCCATAGAAACATACATAGCATGCATAGCAACTATTCCTTTCAATTATAGCATATATATAACACATAACATATCCGACCTTCCGGTCACACAGTCAAACCCTTCCGGGTACAGTATAGTGAGAAGACTCACCTCGTGGTAATGTAAGCTATCAACTCTTGAAACTACTCGCACTCGATCCGCCGATCTGCAGACTCCCTATAATACCATATACCCTTATTAATACTCTTATCATTCAAGACAACTGACCCTAAGAATTTACATGCAGGTCAACTCTGGTCAACGGTCAACTTGACCGGACTCGTCGAGTGCAAAGGCGACTCGGCGAGTCTAGACGTCCTCCCAATTTTCCCTGTTGTTCCCCCTTCTACTCGTCGAGTATCCCTCTTGACTCGACGAGGTCCTCGTGGAAGAATCGCGGGGCCACCCCGACTCCACTCGCCGAGTCTGAAGAACAACTCGGCGAGTCCCAGTGAATCTTCAAGCTACTCGCCGAGTCTGCTCATCCGACTCGGCGAGTCCATGCCATGCAGTCGATCAACTGCTTCCTGAAACACGTATGGTCCCGAAATACACACTCATGGGACTATCTGGACCTCTAAACATCCTATTACTGGGGTATAAACACTTGGTTAACAGCATAATAATCCCTCTAATCATCAAATGGGTTCTATAAACCCTAACTTCATATTCACATCAATCACAGAAGAATGAAATCTGAGATATTACCTGATTGATGCACTTTCTGTGTCCCCAATCCTCAGAACGTGATTCTCTTGTTGTCTCTTCAGCTAAACCTTCCTCTTCCTTACACACAACTCCTCCAAACCCAACAATGGTCTTCAATCCTTGCTCCAGATGGACACAATCGTTCTAGGGTTCTTCTCAAAAAGCAAAAACGAACAATGACGGCCTAAGAGGCGTTATATACGATCCAAAACCAAACGGCTAGGGTTCCTGCTGAACAGCGTCGACTTGCCGAGTCCCTAATGGACTCGTCGAGTCCAGTCGCGAATCCGCGACTAAGTCTGTGGTCCTACTCGGCGAGTCAGGCACCAACTCGCCGAGTCCCCTCCTAAATTGCCCCAAAAATAGTTTTAAAGCAATACCTGAAATTCCGGGCTGTTACACAAACTCATACGCTCTCCAATTAAGGAGATTCGGGATATAAGAGCAGTCATGGCAGGAAGTGCCATGACCCGCTCAATGGTTCACATAAATGAATGAATGTATATGTAATGAATGTGCAAATTGAAAGTGTAATCTTTCTCTGTCTAGCCTGTATATACTGAAATGTTCTGCTTGTGCTAGCTGTAATGTACGTTCTCTCTATCTAGCATGTATAGTAATGTACTGTGTGCACTAGTTGTAATGTATGCTATATTTTTATCTAGCATGTATAGTAATGTAATGTGAGTACTACTTGAAACGACTAATGAATGAACTAACTCCTTGTATGTTTCATTGTTCTAGCAATAGTATTAGTGTCCTCCTGTGCTACCCCTATGGTAACTTACTAGTGACGTAACTGGTACGTATGAACATGGAATTATACCCTTACTACCCAAGGGTACCGAATGAACTGGAAGGACCTTTATGACTATATATGTACACATGATATATAACTAGTATTTAAATGACCTTCGGATGGATACCCGATATCCCACCAAACCACATCTCAAGCACGAAAAGGAAATAGGGCGGGCAGACCTTCCTAAGCCTTTTAAACATTGCTTATCTAACTATAAATACATAGACATGCAATTGATAATAAGTATAAAAGAGTTTAAGTACAAGTATTTGATAAGTAAAAGAGTTTGTAAAACAGTTTGAAACAATAAAGTTTGATAAACAGTTTGAACAGTAAGAAATCACTGGTTTTGTAGTTATTAATCACATGTGATTGATGTAATAACTATAAGTATTTAAGTTGTATTCCCCCCATAAAGCATTTAAAAACATTTAAATCATTGGTTAAGGGGTATGAACACACTTGTAGTAAGTGGTATAGATGAATTGAAGATGTAGGATCGCTAGGTCACAAGTGAAGTCCTGAATACACTTGATAATCCTAGTTAACATATAATACCACATATATGTATCCAATTAGTCTTAAACTACTAATTCATAATGTTAATACATCCTATAACATAATAAAAACTTTATATAAGTGTTATAAGCCCTAAGGATTGCATCTAAGTTGTTGTGGGACAAGGCTAGTGAGTGTAGGGTTCCAACGGACCGCATACATGAGTTTACTCTCCAATAAACCCCTCACAAGGAGTTTACGGTTGTAAACTCTTGAGTTTACGGCCGTGAACTCCTAAGTTAAATGTCATTAGCTATTTTGAAGTTCTATATGATCTCTAGAAGCATTCCCTCTTGGTGGATTAATTCTTAGAAGGGTTTAGGGCACTTATACACTCCTTTGAGGAGTTTACGACCCCAACTCCAATTCCTTTAGAGTTTATTGCCGTAAACTCCTATGAAGAGGGGTGTTTTTTATGTTTTCAAGTCCCACACTCATGTAGGATAGGTTCTAGACATTTATCTAAGGCTAATAAAGGCCTTAGGCATACTTTGGTACCCTTCCTTGATGTTCACGACCCAAAGACCATTTCCCTTATAGATTACGGCCGTAATCTCTCATGGGGATGGGCATTTGATGATTTAAAGTCCCTAAATTCACTAGAAGTAAATCAAGGCTATTGTCCAAGGCTTTAGGAGTGATTAAGGAACTCTTTGGCCTTTGAGTTTGCTATTCACGGTCCAAGAACTTCTTAGGTTGTGAACACCTAAATCTTGGTGTTCTTGGATGATTTCTAGTCATAAAAACACTAGCATACAAGCCTAAGGTGGTTACATATCGTGGGGAAAGGACTAGGCATCATCTAACCCTTATAAAAGAGTTTACTCCCCAAGGTGTTCTTGGGCGGTGAACTCTCAAATCATGTGGTTTTGTTATGATTTCTATGTTATTAAGCACTTAATAAGCCATATAATACAACTAGAGAAAGGTACTCACGATTTGGGATGAAAACCCGAAGATCCATGTGAGAGAAATAGCCTTTCCCTAGTTGGAAATGTAACTAATGAAATAATTTGGTTAAGAATCATATATATAGTCCTGGGATTTTTGGCAGAAAATACTTTTATTCAAGAACATGAACTCTAATATCATAGAGGTCTGAAATAACAGAGTTGCACAAAACCCTAGTGCATCGTCTCTCCTGATATCTCTTTAAGTGTAAACCCTTGAATTACTCAAACTTATACTAAAAAGTATGAAAACTTACCGCAACTGTTCTGACTTCTATTGAAGTGATATTGTTTGTACATAATAGAATTTCGGGTTGTCACAATATATATATATATATATATATATATATATATATATATATATATATATATATATATATATATATATATATATGTCTTTACCTAATATATAAAATTGATAAATGTGAAAACCTGGCGCTAACCGTAATGTAGATGCTAACGCTGAAAGTTAGCGTGTAGAGTATTTGACTCGTTAGATCATAAGGTGTGACCTTATAGTCTCCACCTAAGTGTAAGATTAAAATTTTAGCATTTTTAGGTTTATCAATTGCTTCCCCTAAGAAAGTGAACGAATTCCCTTGATTATTAAGCAGTTTGAGACAACATTTATGAATCACAACAGATGGAGGATGAATAGGTTAGAATCTTGACTTTAGGTTGAATCGACCTTAGACTTAGAGTAATAACATCTAGTAGTTTCTTTAGCTTTAGCAAGATTCTCCCCCTTTTGACATTAACAATAAAATAGAACTAGAGGAGGAGACCAGAGTATCATAGTTGTATCTTGCAGTCTATTGAGATTTTGATGTCTCCTGATAGTATAAGTTTCAACTACCAAGGACAGGCTACAGTTAGGGTTTTACTGAGCATAGGGACGAATGAGTGTATTTTAGATCCCAAAATTAAACTTTATGGGGGTGTAAATATGAAGGAGACCATAAAAGATCGTCGGGTTTTCATCATTTTCTTATTTATAAACACCTTTGCCTTTATATTATCCAGATCGGGAAGCTTCATTATCCTTCCGACTAGTCTTACTCTTTAAGTTTTCATCGTCTTCTCCCCCCTGTTTCAAAGAAGCCTTGCTTCCTGAGACACCCTGCTGTTGATTCAGCATTGCAAATATAGGTTGAAGGTTTTAAGAGAGATTCTGGTGGATAAAGACAGTAAATAAAGAATCGTGAGTGTCAACGATTCTCACCCTTTAAGCAATGATTTCTCTTCTTCAAGTTTGGCAATATTGAGTGTTGCATTCTTCACCTTCTCAGAAAGAACCTTCATTTTCTGTGTCTGTTCATCCAAGGCATCCATTATCTTATTTTTAGCAGCCAAGTCATTTTGTAACTTGGTGAGATGTTTAGTGAAGGTTGTGTTAGGATCAACATTATCAAGTTTGATATCTACACAGAGAGTGGAAAGAGATTCTTTTTCAGTTTTTAAGTACGATCGGAAGCCTTCGATGAACTTGTTCATATCAGCAATACTCTTGTCAGAAGAAGTCTGAAATTTAGCCATGAATTCCTTGAATTTAGTTTTTAATTGCTGAGTCTTTTCATAAGCTTTTGTGATTATATTTTCTGAAGCTTGAGCAGTTGTTGATGATTCTTCAATGACTTTGGCATTTGAAGATGTGAGCATTTTCATAGTTTCTTGATGGGTTGTTAGAACATTCTCCCATTTCATTGAAGAGAAGGCATGGGAATACTCCATAATAGAATCAAGCTTCTCATTCAACTACTTGAATTGGCCTTTCATGATAGGCGCGATGTCACCATCACTTGAAAGATTTACAAAGAAAGGATGAAAGAAAAAATGTGCAACAGGTTCTTGATCATCACCATATAATATCCTATTATCATCATCAGCTGGAGGAACTAAAGACGAAGGCTGTTTGGAGGTCACACCAATGGTAGCATTTGGTGGAGTGGAAACGAATGAAGTTGTGGGAATTGTGTAGTGTGTGAAGATGTGTGAGGAAATTGGAATTGATACTTGTAGAAGTGATGTTTTAACAGAACTTGCTGGTGGTAAAGGTGGAATCTATGTTATCGGAATTATAGAGATGTTTGTTGAAGTTGTCATTTAAGAGGTTGGTGGAGTGAATGGAGGTGGAAGTGGAGATGTGGTGAGATTCAACAATGGGTTTTGCATAATGTTATAAAAAATTTCTGGTTTCAGAATGGAAGAGTGTGGAGGAGAAGATACCTTCAAAATATATTCAATAGGGGCGGGTTCGGAAGTTGCAACTGTATCTTCTTCTTCATTTCTGAGACTGTTGTCCCGTTGAGCTTTAGTTTCCGTTCTCTCTTCGGATTCCTCTTGAAAAACCGGAGATGATGGTGTCAGTTTTTGAACTGGTTTCTTTTCCCTCATTGGAGTTTTGACGCTTTCTGAAGTGGACACGTTTGCTTTCATTTTTTCTACCCTGTATGGTTTATCGCCTTCATTTATAATCTTTTGTAATTTAGTTGAAATGGGACGAACACCAGAGGAGGGAATTTTTCAATAATCGATGATTATGTCATTGTCCATTGGAACTTTTCCGACATGAAGAATGGAGTCGTTTAGAGCGTTGGAATGTAAACATCAGTGAGTGTTTCATCAAGGGAACTTTGAAGTGAGTTAGGGCTCGATTCACAAAAATTAACCAAAACTGGGCACAGGAAATCTCCGTGTGTCATGTTGAAGAACTGAAGCTCTAAACGGATAGAGTGCAAAGAATAGACTGATAGTCAAGGTTTATCCCATGATATAACCAATAGATTGTTGTGTAAAACAACTTTCTTGCATTATCATAACCAAAAGCCCTTTCTAACAGGATTTTGAAAAATAGGGTAAATAACCCATTAAACATCGGGGGAAAAAGGATTTCCTAAACCTTGATAATAAGAATATGTCGCCTGTGTACCCTATCTGGTAGAACATCTCTATTAGGCCTGCTGCTGGAATTGATTCTCGGTCAACACTATCTTTTGGCGTAACAAGCCCTAACAGCTTGCAGAAATTAGTTGTTTTCGTGGAGGTCTTGTGGTTTGCAACCTCGAAATTGATAATTTCTCTAGTTTTGGTGTAGATGGAAGTGGAGAAGGCCTCAGAGAGATGAACTATTGGAACCTCTTCAGCCATTGTAAATGCCTTCATCAACTGCAAAAACTAGAGACATTCAATCATGTGCCTTATTGGGGCATTGCAGTGAGAAGAATCAAGGTCTATTATCATGTTTTGGTTTGGCTTAACAGCTAACATGATCACTGATTCTTATTGACCAGCAAATGAAAGGTGCTCTGATGAAGCAGTCATTGATGCTTTGAGAGAGATGATGAACAATAGAGAGCAAGAGTAGTTTTTGCTTTGAAAATGTGACAACTAGCAGATTAGGGTTATGATTTCTATCCATGTACAAGAAAATTTCATTTGTGTAACCTTGCATCATTTCATTTAGTGAAATTCAAACATCAATGCTATTAAGCTGATACTTCCATACATAGTCATTCAAGTCGAAACATCCTCACATAAGCCCGAACTTAATCCGATAAGCCAATTCCACTCAACTTTAGGCCTTAGCTCAAGCTTTCTCGGCCCAAATCCCTTTTTTGATCAAGACTTCTTATTGGGCCGATAGCTTCCCTCTTTTGGTCTTGTTGGGCCGAAAACCCCTCTTTGGGCCCTAATGGTCCGATAGGTTTTCCAATTGGTCTTTTTAGACCAAAAAACCTCTAATGGGCCTTGTAAGGCCTAAATCCGCTATTGGACCCCCTATTGGGCTAAAGGTTCTTTATTGATTTCCACGGGAAAAAAACCATACTTGGGCCATATTTGGGTCCAAAACCCCTTAATTGGGCCAAAAACCTTTCCTAAGACATTAGTGGGCTGAGAACCCCATTGGGCCAAACATGAACCGAACACCCTAATTTGGGCTCCCAATTGGGCCGGAGAATCTCCTGGATTTGGTTGGGCTTGTATAATAAAAAAGAGAGAATACATTCAAAAGATGACACCTCAATATTGCACCACAAATAACAAAGTAATTACCTTCATGCATCTAGGAAATTTCATGACAAACTCACTTTTCCACAAAAATTTGTATAAATATTTAAAATATATTAAAACTTAAGTTTTATGTGTGATGTGGAAAAATCAAGATATGTAAAAATTATTATTATTATGGTTTAAAACCAAAGGTAATATGTTATTTTTACACAAAATGTTACGAATATATTAGTTCAATATTATATATTTATAGAAAGAGCTTATAAAAAAACTTACCAAAATGGGAAACTAAACAAACTTTTATGACACAAAAATGGCGTGTAAAAAGCTGTCTGTCATGAAAGCTTTAAAAAGCACAGTAAGCTGTGAAACATTTTGCGACACGAATTATTGCGTGTCATAAAATTGCAGTCGTAATTATACACTAGCAACGTTATTTATAATATTCAATAATGAGATTCAAAATTTGCGTAAATTTTTTTAAGGATTTTTGTGAGACACTCTTTCACCGTAGCTATTTTGCGTACACCATAAACCCTGTAGTTATAACCAGAGTCTCTTGGAGGGAGAGTGGGATATTATAAATAGATCTATACGAGGTTGATAACCCCACACCTGAGCTGTTCGCTACAACTAGATAGGCCAGTCAAGGGTGACAAATATCTTATTAGAAACCGATGGCTAAAGAACATCAATACAGGCGCTGTAGTCACATTAGTATGGTTGTAACGACTCACACAGAGAATAACAATATTATTTTTGAATTTATGCGAAATATACACTCTACTCGTTTTATAAAGTACAAAACTATGTGTTGTCTATTTTATAACTAGTTTCACTACTCGGATCTTAGGGTTTTAAGACCACAACTCCTCGTGTGACAAAAAATATAGGATTTTCTAGGAACACTTTCTTTATAATTTCATACAAGGAAAAACAAAGAACACGCGTGCAATTGTACATGATTTGGAACGAGACTCAATAACCATTTTTACAAAAAATATTAGATTTTCTGGAGTTTTACAAGCTATTACAAAGTTTTCTTATTAATATGCTTATGAATGCACACACATTCTATGTTGATGCTTTTCAAAACAATTTGTATTCTCAGGTACTCAGTGATCAGGTATTCAACTATGGATTTTGGAATATTATTGTATTTGAAATATCATACATTGTGTTATTTTTGGATGTAATTTCATGAACAAATACAATTTGTAAACAATGCATGTTGGTATCTTTAACGTATGAGGTTTGGTTTCTATGTTTCATTCATATTCAATTGTTATGATATTACAAGATGAAGTCACCTGCCCCCGGACGTTTCCTCCGACCCGCTTCGGGGATGTGACAGATTGGTATCAGATAATTCTTTATAGTGAACTAGCATATCGAACAATACAAGACATGCAACTATAAATAAAATGGGACTAAAATACTCTTAAAAAAATACAAACATGTGTGTGCATATTTGGAGTGGTGCCATAATAAGAAACAATTAAAAGTCTTTAGAGGAGTTGGACATCGTGGTTAAACCCAAGAAGTTATGAAATCATATTGGGGATAAATATAGAATGATCTACTATATTTATTCAATATATGACCAACATGTGTTTGGGAGTAATCGGGGTGGACGAAAAATCTAAAATTTACCAACCATATACCCAAAAGTTTTAAGGAACCCAACATAAACAATTAAAATACTAAAGGAGTATTTTGGCGTTGTGTTGAATCTTAATATATTTTCTTATATCTTCTTTTGTACTTATATTCTCATACAGATGACATGGTAGGATTGCACTTGCCAGGCAACCCCTAATTTCCCAATCCGGGAAATGGCAGATGGATAGAGGAGGACCCGAAAGAGGAGCCTGTGGAAGACCCTGAAGTGGAAGAAGTCGATGAGGAAGTCAATATGGAGGAAGAGGAGGGCTCTATCGCAGAATCCAAATTCATCATCCCACCCTACATGGATAGGGTACCGGCACATCGGATGGGCCCCAATGGCCCTATGCCCCCGTGGGGCCACAAAATATGGAGGTGAAGCAAGCATCAGGGACATCGTCCACTATTTAGCTTGGAGAAGAGATTTTACAACCTTAGCCATGAAGGACCAACGAACCGAACTCTTCCTATTATGGTCACACATACCAGGGAAATTGATGATCAGGCCCAAGCGACCGCTAATCAGATGAACGAGAGGAGGGTTGCAGTGGAGCATGCGGAGAGGCATACCCAGGACATAGTGAGGGAATATTATGAGCATCAGACCATACTAGAGGTGAGGATGCGTTTCACCGAGCACCAGCTAGCTAGACTCCAAGTCACTTCTATTTCATCATCAGCACCACCAGATACCTCCCGACATGAGTAGGACCCATCCTAATCACCACTGCTATTGATGGAACTTCCTTTTCTTTTACTTTATGTATGTAGGAATGATCCTACGATTAAGTGATTACACTACTCGCCGGGTCGTTATGCTGTAAGTTTTATTTTCTATGTACTGTAGACCTTTTACAAGGTCATTTTTCATGCATTATGTACTAAAACATTATCATTTAATGAAACGGTTATGTGTTTTATTGTGACGTTGTTATCTACTATATTCTCTCTTTTTCATTTTTATTTGATGTAATACAATTTCAATCAAATCACCGTAACCGCTAAAAGGGATTTCCATAAACTCATCGTCATTCCTACTTCATAGCAGGAAATGCCTAGGAGATATATTCACAAAAACGCTACAACTGTACCACCACTACCGCCGCGTCCACCAGAGATGGAATCTGCTGCAGTTATTGCAACATTAGAACACATCAACCAGCGCGCAAACGGAGGAGGTAACAGAAATGGGACATGTATTTCCAATCATGGAGTTAACCAGGGAAACCGAAGCCTTTTAATGTAAGTGGTAGTGTAATAGCTCTCACCCGATGGTTCGAACAGACCGATTCTGTTTTTGAAATTTGTTGGTGTCCAGATGAAAGCAAAGTAAAATTTGCAGCTTTCACGTTTGCTGACAGGGCCCTTTGATGGTCGGACGACCATGTCAAGGCCCTAGCACTCCCAATCACAAATGCTATGTCATTGGACGACCTCAAAACAATGATACTGGATGAGTATTATCCCTGAGGTGAAGTGCAAATGCTCGAGAAAGAACTATGGAATCTTACCATGCAAAACTCTGATATTGAAGCATAGATTGCCAAGTTTAGTGATCTGGCACGCTTATGCCCAGGAATGATAACTTCTGAGAGCAAGAAGGTTGAACGCTTCATTTGGCAGTTAACTCCTCCAATCCAAGGAAATGTGATTACTGCAAACCCCTCAACATTCAATAGTGCTAAGCGCCTGGCTCAAAAATTATATGACCGTGGGGATGGAAAGGGCTCGAAGACTTCCGGCGCTGAAACAAAGAAGGAGGATAACAACAAGAAAAACTAGGAAAAAAAAGAAAAGGGCGACAGACTCAAGAATCATCTAAGAAGCAACAAACTGTAGTAGTTCACGCTGCTACCAATCGGATGCTACCAACAGCAGTTGCACCAACATCAACCACACTGACACCCGCAAGACCATACACAAGCACTCAACCAAAGTTTGCTAAATGAAGTTTCCACCACAATGACATATGCCGAGACTTATAGTGCACCAATTTCAATAAAAAAGGCCACACCACCTGGTATTTTCGATCTCAACCTCAACAAAACAACCAACCCAACAACAACGGGGCTAGTAGAGCATGTTACGGGTGCGAGGGGTACTTGCCATTTCTAGTGAAACTGTCCCAAAGCCAACAATCAATGTAACATCCCAAAATATGACCCAAAATTTTTTGTTTAATCATTACATAAATACCATAAACTAAAAACCATATGTCAATATCTCAAAACCTTAACAAAGTATCATGAGAAAATTGTATCAAGACTATACTAAATCATATCTATGAAAAGCTAAATCAACTCCCAGGACAAAAACAAAAGCTATGTTGTGTGCGATGCCATCATCCCGAGCTCTTCCCTTTACTTGCGGAAGTACCGAAAACCAAAACTGAAACTGTAAGCACGAAGGTTAGTGAGCTCCCCCAAACTACCACATACCATACAATAACATATGAACACATACTGGGCCTTGCCCACTGCATCGGA